TCTCTCTCCCTCTCCCTCTCTCTCTCTCTCCTCTCTCTCTCTCTCTCTCTCTCTCTCTCTCTCTCTCTCGCTCTCTCTCGCTCGCAATTTATGTCGCTCCCGTCTCCGCCGTGGACAGAACAGACCTCTCTGTAATTACGCTACCGTGTAGGTGGCGCTGTATACGACGATGGCTGTGCTCATAGACATTCATGACATTCATGAGAAATTCATGAATATTTTGATTTTGAGTACATTCCCCAAGGTGGCGATATATATTCATGATTTGAATACAGGGCGCGTTTTGGACGTGTGAAGAATGTGAATGAGTGATGCATGCACCTGCTCTAAACGGCAGGAAATGTGTTACAAGAGAAATCTAAAGAGAAGGGAAAAAGACGCGCGAATCGTAAAGTTCACGTTTGACGCGCGTTCTTACGAACACGAGTCCATGTCATCTGCATGCGATTGCCATTTGCATTCGCATTCGCACGTTTTCTAAATGTAAATTCGGCGAGGCTATTAAGTCTGCTAACGCGATGAATTGCGATGCCATATATATCGAGGCGGCATAACATTTAGGAGCTTCTCACGAAAATCTCGTTATATGCGTGAAACAACGCACGACTGACTGAAGCAAGTGATCGCGAGCCAACCCAACGTGACCTTAACAACAAACACTCGACTGTCGCAGTACAATAGCTCTCTAGCAATACGCATCGATAGAAAAGCTTTCCGATTATGTGCCTAAGTAGTCACAAGTGACCGTTGCTCTAGTCGTGGCGTGTCGACGTATTCTACAGCCGTAGAACCTGCATGGTTGCATTAGTTCATGGTCACAGTCATCAAGTGGCGTTCTTATCTCTAGGATTATTCGATGTTAGAGAACTTAAAAGGGGTCACATAGGAGCATTTATATTCCGCTGAGCCTCTACGAAATGGGATTTCAAAGCTGTGAGGCGCGTCACCAGAAACGCTAACAACGGCACCCAAGCCGTACACCGTGTTTAAATGTCCCTGCAGCCAATTACGGATGCGTAAGCGCACGCGTGTCAAGTAGATACACATCAATAACATAGCAGCTTCACCGCTGCGCAGCGCGTGATGTACACGGCGATGACTAGCCTACTGATGACGACATCGCCTCCTCAATAATGGCTGCTTGGCCGGTTCGTATGGCGATTGAGCGCGATTCAATATACGTGCATGCTTGCTTGCCCCGTGTCATCGCTGTCCATAAACGAACGGGCTTGACAAATTACGAATGACATCATCCGTAGTGTTGCGTTGTAACCGAGGCAGGCGTGCTGCATTAGGGCACGTTAATTAGCTACGCGGTATGACTACACACACGGGATACACACGTTACCTCGTTCAATGTAGTCGGATAGGGAAAAAAGTTAATTTATTAAGGGCTGTGGAACAGTAATTGTTGTATAATTCATAATCAGACGTTAGTCTAAGTCCATTCTAAAAGAGGTAGCTGTAATGTCCGCCGCTCCGGCTTAACCATCCTCGATCTCGCGCCGCTAATACACGGACAACGCTCGCATGCGACCCCTGGCATTGAGCCAGCATCTCCACGTTATGACCTCGTCTTTATTATTACACACCGGCACGCGCACGTTACACGCGCACACACACGCGCACGTTACACGCGCACACGCACGCGCGCATACACAACGTATATATATGTATATATATATTTATATATAACGAACTCTTAAAAGAGAATCGGGGTGACAAAAATCTTTCAGGTATGACGAATACTAGAAACAAGAATCCCTTTAGTGAGGCGTACGCCGAGTGTTTGATAGAGATAAGGCACGACAATAAACATCCCACGGGAAACAACCGCAGGACTTTGACATTTTGCAGCTGAGCTAACATACACATCAGAGTGGTTGGTTTCACTACAGCGCGGAAAATCCCACACACTAAACTAACATGAATTATTGATGTACATACCGCCCGGTGTTCTGTATCATCTTTCCCATTTACAAAAAGGACCCTGATCAATTATTAAAGCCGCCTCTTTCACTTCGCCCCCACATTTAGAGCGACACGTTACAAGCTATGTGTTGTCTAACAAAAATATCACTGGCTTGCTGTAGTAGTGACATCCGAGGTGATGGCAACGAAATGACTAAGTATTCTATTACACGAATGTTGCTC